GTGCCTGCGGCTCAAACGCGCGTCCCTCATTGCGGCTCAAACGCGCGTCCCTCTGGGACCCTCAGGACCGCCAGGCTGGGCGCGGATCTGGACATGAGGAGCCGCCCCTGGAGAGGGGGCGCCTGTGCCTCCCCCGCTCCCCCCAGCGCCCCTTGACAGCGGGGACCTCCCTCCCATGGGGAGGTCTGACTGGACCTGCTGGCAAGAGGCCGCCACCAGAGGTCCCCTTCTCTCCTGCAGCTTTTGGGGAGCGATCTTGAGGGGTGCACCAGGCACCTCCGACCTCGCGGACCCCGTGCAAGGTGGACTTCGCAGGGGCCGCCATGGTGCACAATGTGATTCTGGTGTTTTTCCGCAGACGGCTCAGCCAGAGACCTGCCGTGGAGGAGCTGGAGAGGAGGAACATCTTGAAACGTGAGTAGCTGGGTCCCCGCGCCCCTGCACCTGTGCTGAGCCGTGGCCCGGCCAGCCGGGCGCTGTCCCCTGGCGCCCTCCCTTCTCGCAGCCCAGCTCCTCTGTGTCCTCTGTGAAGATGGCAAGCCCTGGGGAGAGTCGGTGCACCCAGAAGCACCCCCTTAAAATCCGGGAGAGCGCCTCCTGGCACCGCGGAAGGTGCTGGGTGGGGCCATTAGTTCTGGGTTTCAGGCAGGTTCCCCGGCAGATTTGAATGGGGCTCCTTGGTGATGGCCACGGACGCACAGGCAGCGCGGACAGTGTCATAACCCACAGGGACACGCCCGTCACACCTGGGGCAAGCCCACAGCTCAGAGGAAGAGCGCAGAGTGCACCAGGCGGCTCCACGCTCCCGCCGGGGTCCCGGGACGGGTAGGACATCGCCGTGTCCCGCAGGGTGTGCACAGGTCGCCTCCACAGCGCAGCGCAGGTCCCTCTCACTGTGGTCACTGCGATGGGGGAAACCTTCCGAAAGTGGAAAGCGCTCTCGGCCGGGTCTTCTCTCGGCTCCCCAGGCTCTCCTTTCCAAAACACTTTCTGCAAAGAGTGGCGTCTTCGGGCCTGGATTCTCAGTATTTCCGTTTCTTCTCCTCTCTGTGTGATGAGCACTGCAGACATTCTCTGAGTTTGGTTTTTGACCCGTGAGCATCTTTTCACAAAGTTACGAGCTGCCTTCCGGTCAGAAAGCAGGCGGCAGGGCCCTGGCTCTGGGGCCTGAGTCCCACCTGGGTTTCTGCCCCGCCTTTGCTCAGCCAGCCCGCTCCTTTAGAGACAGTTAGAAACATTTAACCGTAACATTAAGACTTCTTCGTTTTATTTTTTAAACGTAAGTTATGACAGCTACATTCTCTATTGTGTGTGCTGGGCTGCGTGGGAGGACATACAGAAAAGCTTTTCATGCCCTAGCCAGTTTGGCTCAGTGGATAGAGCATCGGCCTGTGGACCAAAGGGTCCTGGGTTCGATTTTGGTCAGGGGCATGTGCCTGGATTGTGGGCTTGATCCCCAGTAGGGGGTGTGCAGGAGGCAGCCAATCAAGGATTCTCTCTCATCATTGATGTTTCTATCTCTCCCTCGCCCTCCCTCTCTGAAATCAATAAAAAAATATTTTAAAAAATAAATTAAAAAAAAAACAGAAAAGCTTTTCGTTGGTAACATGCTCAGTCACATGGGCAGCTGAAAGAGTCAAATATTCAGTCACCAGCCTGGCCGGTGTGGCTCAGTGGTTGAGCATCGACTTATGAACCAGGAAGTCACGGTTGGATTCCCGGTCAGGGCACAGGCCCGGGTTACAGGCTCAATCCCCAGTGTGGGCCATGCTGGAAGCAGCTAACCAATAATTCTCTCTCATCATTGATGCTTCTATCTCTCTCTCCCTTCCTCTCTGAAATCAATAAAAATATATTTTAAAAAATATTAGGTTACTACATTTTTTTTTAATCCTCACCCGAGGATATTTTTCCATTGATTGTTAGAGAGAATGGAAGTGAGAGGGAAAGACAGTGAGAAAGATCGATGTGAGAGAAACACATCGATTGGTTGCCTCCTGCACATGCCCGAACCAGGTCTCGGGCCAGGAAGGAGCCTGCAACCGAGGTACATGCCCTTGACTGGAATCAAACCCGGGACCTTTCAGTCCACAGGCTGATGCTCCATCCACCGAGCAGAACTAGCTGGGCAGGTTACCAAGTATTTGAATTTTTAAAAAGTAAGTCACTCATCTATAAAGCTCATAAGTCACAGATGTCCTGAGAGTGACAGTTCAAGACGGGAATGGCACAAGTTAAAGACCAGACTCAGAGGGGTCTGCTGCCCACGGCCAGCGGAGCCTTTGTCCAGGGACCGCTCCCCCGGCCGTGGTGCCCTGTCCCTGCGGTGGTGGCCTGCCCGGGCCCCCACCAGCCAGCGCTCCTGGCTGTGCTGGTCTTTGCCAATCACCGGGCAGCCTCACAAAGAGGGTCGGCGCTCAGTGACTAGAGCCGGCGAGGTGACCGACTGCGCTGAACCGACCCCTCCATGCGCAGGGAAGGAAGGCGTGGGTTCCTCCTCGCCATGCAGCTCGGAGCCTCTCGCACCGGAGCCGCCCTGCTGTCTTCGGGCTGTTTGTTCCGGGAGGATGAGAGCAGTCAGGTCTCTGGTCAGGGAGGAGCCTCGCACTCACAGGCCCGACCCAGGCTCCCGGGCTCCTGCTCTGTCTGCCATTTCTGCTCAGGATGGTTCTGCACCTCCCATTGTGTGGGCTCCCCTCGGAGGGGTGCAGGACTGAGGGCAGGAACACTCGGAGCTCTGCCTGCGTCCTCAGGGTACAAGAGCGAGCGACACCGTGGCCCCGTCCTGCAGGTGGCACCGAGAACCCTGGTTCTGCCCCTGGCTCACTCTGTGCAGGCAGCCGACTCGGCACTGGTTTCATTCCCTCGTTCCATCTTCACGGCAAAGTTGTGAGGCTTGCATGCCGTCCCCACCTTCAGGGAAGAAGCTAGAACTCATGAGGTCACAAGCAGGCCTCCTTAACATGAGTGTTGGGAAGGGACGGAGCCCGAGTTCTCACCCAGGTTGCCCCGCTCTGTCGCCCACGCCCTCGCTGCTGCACCATGAGGGATACCACTGCCCTGCCAGCTGCCGCTCCCAGCACTATTTCCGGAAAATCTGGGGATGGAGGCTCTGATCAGAGCCCCTCACCTCGAATGAAAACCCCTCCTGGTTGGCCTTATGTGTGATCCTTCTACATTCCCCCTAAGTGTGTTATCAGCTTTCTGATTAGAGGTTTGAACTGTGGTTTCTTCTGGTTTATTTCTTGGATTCCCTTTATAAAACACCCAAATGCAAGGTGACGCTTCCTTTAAAAAAAAAATTAGATAGATAGATAGATAGATAGATAGATAGATAGATTTTAGAGATGAAGGGAGAGGGTTAGAGAGATAGAAACATCAATGATGAGAGAGAAACATTGATTGGCAGCCTCCTGCACGCCCCACACTGGGGATCAAACCTGCAAACCGGGCATGTGCCCTGACCAGGAATCGAACCATGACCTCCTGGTTCATAGGTTGATGCTCAACCACTGAGCAATGCCAGCCACACAATGCTTCCTTTAAAAAAAAATACAGGCCAGTGGCTAATACATGAAACCAGTTCCCCAAATGCATGATGTTTGAAATGCTTTAAAGGAAGGCAGATCACGTGAGATACATTACGCACAAGCCGCAGGGTTCCCTCTCTGGAACCTGGGGGCGTTTCCAGGAGCTGAGAGAGGCCAGGGAGCTGTGGCTTTATTTAGCAGCAGAGCGCCAGAAATAGGGCATCCATCACCTCGTATCCTAGGGCGAGGCAGAGGTTTCCACTACACCTCAGCCTCCGCTCTATTTTTAGCTCTCACGGGGAGCTGTGAGCGCTGCCGAATGCTCACTGCTCACGGTCTCACTGGGGAGCAGAGCCAATGTTGGTGAGAGACGGCCCCTTTAAAAGGAGTGATGCGGTGTCGCGTGAGAGTTAGGGTTCCTGCCAGCAGTCAGCTGGGTTCTGGGAGTGTTTGCATTGGAAATACCCTTGAAAATATAAATTCCAGGCAAGCATATGTTGCCCAGAATCTGAAGAGGGTGTTCCTCGGCTTATATTGCTTGGCTAAAAATAAAAGTATGTCTGTCCTAGTAAATGGAAAAGAAAAAAAAGCAAGCACGCACAGTCCTATTCGTATTCATTCACTGATGCATGTGTGTGAATGTGTTCTATATAACTTACCCTCCACGCTGTCTGTCTGCCACCTGTGCCCGTGGATGTAAGTCTACCCACAGGGAGATTGGGGTGGAGGGAGCTGCTGCCTGTGCGCCCTCAGACGGCCCAGAGCGGCGGCAGCGCAGTCACTGTGCCCCCGGGAGGCCGGGGGAGGGGACAACACACGGTTCTGTGTGTCGGTGAGACCACGGTCTCCTGAGCAGTGACCGGCAACGTGCAGAGGCGAAGCGCGATGTGGACAGGTGTCCCTGCCAGGTGCCCTGGAGAGCCCATGCGCTGCCAGAGATGGAGAGCCGAGGGCCCTGCCCGCGGAGAGAGCAGGGTCTCACCTGTTCTTCCCCTTCCTTCCCGTTTTCCATCTTTCACAGAAAGGAACGACCAGACAGAGCAGGAGGAGAGAAGAGAGATCAAGCAGAGGCTGACGAGAAAGGTACTGGGCTTAAGCACCCTGTCTGCTGAGTGTGACGGTAAACGTGGGCGCGAGGGAGCTGGGCTGGCGCAGGCCCGAAGGGCGGCGACGCGGGCCTCACCGCATGGTGCCGACGACATATGCGTCAAGGGGAGGGCTGGGCCGTTAGACGCATAATCTAAACCAGCGGTCGCCAACTGGTGGTCCGCGGGCCGCTGGTGGCCGTGAGGTCCGAAAGGTTGGCGCCCACTGATTCTAAACCCTTCTCCTCCGAGATGGTTTGCATTAGGGTGACAGTTCACAGTTGCAGTTTTCTGTTCCTTTATAAAAATGTGCTGTTTGTCCCAAGTCCTTTAAGAAAGCTAGTTTGGCACAGGATACCTCACGGTGATGACCTTTTATTTCAGCTTAATCAGAGACCCACCGTGGACGAACTGAGAGACAGGAAAATTCTGATACGGTTCAGTGATTACGTGGAAGTGGCCAAAGCCCAGGACTACGACAGACGGGCGGACAAGCCCTGGACGAGGTTGTCGGCGGCAGACAAGGTACAGGCAGACCTGTCTGAGCTGGTCGGGGGCAGCCTTGTGGGCAAAGGCACCCGGTGCTATGGGGGGAGTGTGTTCTTACAGTGGGGCCATCAGCCATGAAATAATGCTATGCCTTGACCAGATGTTGGCTTCCCAGAGGCAACCTGGATCAGGGTCCTGTCTACAATTAGGGGACAGTTTGGCCGGGTACATTTGGCAATGTTTGGAGATATTTTTAGTGTCACCAGTGGGGGGCGCTACTGGTGTCTAGTGGGAGGAGCCCAGTGCACAGGACAGCCCACAGCAGAGACTCCTCCAGTCCCCAGTGTCAAAAATGTGGGAGCAGAGACCGGAGTCTGGGGATGAATCAGAGGTAAGCAGGGCTGGCGAAAGAGACTGGGTGACACAGGCTTACGGAAAGCCAGCTGCAGTGGGGCAGGGAGAAGGAGAGGCCCAGGAGGCACTGAGGAGAGCTCACAGCCAGAGAGGCAGGAAGAAAGGAAGGAGGTGGGGGTCCCGGGGCTGTGAGGTGAGTGAGCCTCCACCGAGCCCTGACTCTGCCCTGTATTGAGCCCCCTGTCAGCTATAGTTCCATGGAGTCCTCAAAAGAACCCCTGAAAGAGGCGTTGCTACTTCCCCCAACAGACGGCTTGGGAAGTGCTGGCCGTGGTCAGCGCTGTGGCCTGGCAGGAGTCAGACAGCGGGTGTCCGCCTCTGCCCGCCTGCCCACAGCACCCCTGCCTCTGACTCTTGCAGCCTTAGGAAGAGGTTGGAGAGCGCCTGCAGTCAGGGAGTCTGCGGGCTGCTCACTGTCCCTCCATCTGTGCTGAGCAGGAATGCGAGTGGGTTTGCACCAATTTGGAGAAACGCAGACACGTGCGTGGACTGATGCTTGGTTGCCCCTGTGCCATCAGCTCGCAGGGGCCTGAGGGGCAGGGAAAGTGTCTGACAGCCACTGTGGAGGTGGGAGCAGCCCCCCTGGAGTCCTTCCCTCAGAGCCCGTCCTCACCCACAGGCAGGCCGTGCCTGCTGCTCCTGGGTCACCTGGCCCCGGAGGGTGGGCCTTGGGCACTGGAGGAGGTCCAGGCGAGAGGCAGTGTCACCCACGGGCAATGACCGTGTCCTATTTCAAATGACACGAGACACAAATGCTCACTGAAGTTAGAGTGACTCCTTTGTAAGTTTCCCGAAGCTGCACTTGGCGCACGAGGGACGGGGTTCCTGCTGCGTCCATGCCCTGCGCTCCCGGCAGGTGTGGGCTCCCCCTGCGCCAGCGCAGCCCCTGAGCTCCCCGAACCCTCCCCAGTCAGTCCTGGCCGCACTGGCTTGGCAGGGCCATGAAGATGAGTAAGAGTCTAAATCTGAGCAACAAGTTGTTTCTTCCTTTCTGTTTAGGAATATGTTACCAAAGCACAGACGGCAGCACTGTTAGCAAGGGCGGTTAATCCACAGCCAGGACACCACGTTCCTGTGTTAACTTTACTGTCCTGTGAACCAATGTGCTGTTTTACATTCCAGGCAGCGATTCGCAAAGAACTCAATGAATACAAAAGTAACGAGATGGAGGTACACGCCTCGAGCAAGCATTTGACAAGGTCAGATTTCTATTTGTGTGAAGTTCATACTTTATAGCATGGGATTCATAAAAGAAAAGAAAAGAAAATGCCACAAAGAAAGAACTCTGTGTTCAGGTGAACAGAGTGGGAGCTGCAGAGAACTGTATGGAACAGTCAGGATGCGCCTCAGCTCAAAAGGGAGTTCGCTCCCAGGGTTCCTCCCAGGGTTCCTCCCAGGGCGTGGTGAAGGGTGTGGTTATGTAGAACAGTATTGCAAGGTCATTGGCTAATCTACATAGTTAATGTACATTTAACAAAATTAGCCTCAAGGCACTGAAAGTAATTTGCTTATATATTTACTTACCCTCCTGGTGTTCCTGACACTCCAGTTTACAGAGCTCCCTAGTTATCCGCTGGGAGTGCCGAGTAACTGCTCTCCACCCTCCCGTTCCCTTTCCCATCTCACTCACATTTATGTTCACGTCTTTACACACACTCACGCTCCCCCGCTGCTCAGAGGGCACTTACTTCCTCTGCAGATATTTGAGTACCTACCGTGTGCCAGCTCCATTCGAGGGCAGAGGTGAAGGAGTGCCCATCCCCACAGAACGTACATTCCAGTGGGAACACACTGGCCGGTTCTTCCCGAATCGAGACCTCCCCGCGAGGCGCATCCTGCTCTGTCCACGTGGTCCATTGAGATGAGGCGGGTCTCTTGGTGGAGAGTGGAGATCGACTTCTCTTTGCTTGTGGGCCGCATGTTCTCTCAGCACCCCTTCTTTCCCGTGGCCGCCACATGCAGTCCCCTCTGAAGTTCTCCTAGGGCCTTCATCCCTCAGCAGCAAGTCCTCCACTCCCAAGCAGGTGTCTGTCCTCTCTCCCTTGGTCTAAAGATGCTCGAGCCCAGGATGCGAGGAGGAAGGAGAGCCTGCCTTACACTAGAACAGTGCGTCCTCCCACTCCTCTGTCACAGAGCGGCCTCAGCGCTGTCTTTTGGCAGGTTTACCCTGCAAGGCCAGCGTAACTGTGGCACTGAGACCGGTGCCATATGATCCTGTCCTATCAGCCACTTTTATGACGAAGAGATTGAGGGAAGAAGAGGAGGCTGCGGGGGCAGGAGAAAATGAGGAGTAGATAATCTGTTTAAATTTTTTTGAAGTTTCCCCCAGGACTGATGTATATTTAGGAAGGAATGGATCATCTTGTTTTCGATTATTCAGAAATCAAAAACATTTAGGGAAGAAAGTCTCCAGTCAACATTCAAAATTATTTTTAATGCTCATTCTGTGTTAAGAGAATATAATTCCCACGTGTTTTATGTGTGGTAATGTAAAATATTTAATACATTTTCCCATCATACTTATTAGAAGAAATGTTGACTAAAAGGTGTGTTTTTCTCTCCTAAGTTCTTGACAGCTATCTTAGATGATGGGATTTTGAGAGTGAGCCCAAAACTTGGACATCAGGAAATAATTATTATAAGATTTTGATACTACCACATTTTAGGATTTACAGTCCACTTTTAAAAGTCTGAACAATATTTGTAGTCATATGAGATTTTCTTAAGTGGATTAAAGCACAAACACATTAGCAACTGTAAAAGCAAACAAAACTGTAACTTACTGTAATTTCCAATAACTGGTCTCCTCAGCCCATTACTTCTGATTTGCAGTCCTGGCCTTTCTGAGTGCCTCAGGATTTAGCGAGCCGCTTTCCAACTAGGTGTAAGGTAGTCTTGAGACTTGGGGGTATCAATCCTTTGTGGGTACAAGGGAGGCTGAGGGTTGGGGGGCCCCCTGAGGTGCTTCACACACTTGAACCAAAACAGGTTTTCCAGGTTGGACTAAAGAGACACTAAATAGCAAAAGATTTCTTTGTGGGAGGTTTTGGCAATTTCAACGTCAAAATGTATGACCTGAAATAATTGTGCTTTTTAAAATAATTTCTAGATTCCACAGGCCGTAGAGATTTTCTTCTGAGAAGAATCTGTGTTTAACTTTTGATACCAACACTGGATACTCATCAGGGGACTCTCCTGAATTTAACTCAAGACTCCCCGCTGTGTCGGGAGGAGCGAGCACGCAGGGAGGTCACCCTCACTGCTCTCCGGACACGGACCCGGACACGGACACGGAAGGTCTCGCTCTGGCGTCCCAGGAGTGAGCTGTCGGGTCCTCAGAGACCCGGAGTGACGGCAGAAGAAAACTGTTGGATGCCTTTGAGCCTTGTTTTCAGTTCTGCGGTTGGTCGACAGAGGGTGGAGATTCGCAGGTGCAGGCTCGGCACTCCAGACCTCGGGCCTGAGGGCGCGTGACGCGGTGTCATCTGTGTTATGTTGAAAAGACATTTTTACTCTGATCACGATTGAGTTGAGAACTCTCTAAGTTCATGTTATACAAAATTATTTCCTGTATTATATTTCTCCTTTTTTTATATAATGTCTAACAGAAATACAGCTGCAACATTTTGATTCCTGTTAATTTTGTTCTTTAATTAAATGATTACTTATTGCAGGAAATTCACCTGCGCTTTATATTTTCTTGGGGTTGGAATAAGAGTTTTGTGTGAACAGTAGTCTAAGAAACAAGTCAAGTTTTATTTTCGAGCCATCAGAATCCAAAAACATAAGAATTTCCATTTTTTTATATTTTGTTTTATAAACTGTTAGTGCCTGTGGTTTGTGCCTTGGAAAATCAAACCGTCTTTTCAGATTAATTGAAATTTATGTATCACTGAGTAACAAACCTAGAAATAAGTACTGATTTGCTGAAAAATTCTACCAAGATGAAAAATCTGCCCTCCTTAAGGCTATTTTTAAATTCACATGAAAAGTAGTAAAAGTTGTTCTAAGAGACAAAGGTTGAGATGGAGTGGAGATTATAGGGAGGAATGCACCCAGCACACAGGTGAGAAGTAGTCCTGGCACAAAGTGGGGAGCATGTTAGGTGGGATGCATGGTCCCTGGAGGGGACTTTTATGTGGGTTCTGAACAAGTGTCCTCACAAAATGAACCCTCCCTCTCTCCCTCCCTCCGGGACGCAGGGCCTTTGGGAGCTGGGGGACCCGTGCCACACCCAGGCCTGCCCTCTTCAGCTGCGCACTTATTTTCTCTATAGGGGCATCATCTCTGTGTCTGACAACATTGCTGTATTTTTTTTTATTATTTTTCAACCACAGTTTACATCAATACCATTCCTCCCCAGGTTCAGATGGACCACAAAGTGGCCAGAAAACCATACCCTCTAAAGAGGGCCCCGTCCCGCCCCTAGCACCCACCTGGCCCCGGACCCCATTATCTCAACAGTATTGACTGCATTCTCCATGCTGCAGTCTGCATCTCTGTGGCTATTCTGCAACTACCAATTTGTACTGCTCAGTTCCTTCACCTTTTTCACCCAGCCCTAAACCCTCCTCCCCTCTGACAGCTGTCAGCCTGTTCTCTGTGTCTATGAGTCTGTTTCTATTTTATTATTTTACTAGAGGCCCAGTACATGAAATTCATGCACTGGAGGGGGGGGTCCCTCAGCCCGGCCTGCACCCTCTCCAATCCGGGACCCCTCAGGGGATGTCCGACTGCCTCTTGCAATCTGGGACCACTGACTCCTAACCGCTCGCCTGCCTCCCTGCCTGATCGCCCCTAACTTCTATGCCTGGCTGCCTGATTGCCCCTAACTGCTCCCCTACTGGCCTGATCACCTCTAACTGCTTCCCTGTTGGCCTGATCACCCCTAACCACCTCTGCCTTGCCCCGCACCCAGGACCCAGGATTCCCTCCTCCAGCCAGTCTCAGGCACCCGGGATCTGGGCTTCCCTCCCTCTGGCTGGCTGCAGGCACCCAGGACCCAGGTCGACTTCATCCAGGCCGGCCACAGCCGCAGGGGATTGTGGGCGGGCGGCTTAGCCTAGGCCGCAGCCACAGGTGCCCGGGTCTGCGGGGCGGGTGGCTTGTCCCTCTCCCAGGCCATAGCCCCAGCCACTGGCGCCCGGGACCACGGGGCAGGCAGCTTGTCCCTCTCCTGGGCCACAGCCTGGCTGGTCCCCATTCCTCTCTCCCCAGTGTTGAGTGTCTGAGCCATTCCAGTGTGACAGCGTGAGGGCATGACGGCCATTTGCATATTAGCTCTTTATTATACAGGATTTTGTTCTTTAGATCCCACATATAAGTGAAATCATATGGTGTTTGTTTTTCTCTGACTGGCTTATTTCACTTAACATAATACCCTCCAGGTCGATCCATGCTGTTGCAAAAGGCAAGATTTTCTTCTTTTATATGGCCGAGTAGTATTCCATTGTGTAAATGTACAGCTTTTTTATCCACTCGTCTGCTGATGCACTTGGGCTGCTTGTAAATAATGCTGCAATGATCGTAGGGGTGCCTATATTCCTTCAGATTAGTGTTTTGTGTTTCTTCGGATATAGTCCCAGAAGTAGAATCCCTGGGTCATAAGGCAGTTCCATTTTTAACTTTTTGAGGAATCTCCATACTGTTTTCCACAGTGGTGGCACCAGTCTGCATTCCCAAAGGGAGTTCTCCACACCCTCGTCAACACTTGTTTATTGATTTATTGATGATAGCCCTCCTCCGACTCCCCCCTCCCCAGGCCTTCAGTGCACTGCCTGTGTGCATGGGTTATGCATACATGCATATAAGTTCCTTGGTTTATCTCTTCCTGCCTCACTCCCTCTGAGATTCCGTCTTCTTTTCAGTGACAAACACCATATCTGAGTGGTCAGAATTCTTCATTCCTAGTAGTCATTAACGAGGCTCCTGTGCATCCACTTTACAACTCATTTGTTCATTTTCACAAAATAAAATATAATTAACTATTAAAGGAACAATGAATATTAAAGCATTAAAGAAGCTCTTAAGGATTTTTTACTTTTAAGAAAATATAATGGATAATTTTGTGAAAGACAAATCACTTCTAGAAGCATCCATTAAATTTTAAGCCAATCTGATAGGGGGAAAGGTAGATCATGACTTTTTATAAAAAGTACATTTAAAAAGTTTTAAAGGTACTTTGCAATTATGTAAAATTTGGACAATTGAAATGCATAAGGAAAAACACCGAATATCAAGAGGCCCACCTTGTGGACGTATATGGTAATTACAAGTCTAAATTTATTCTATTCTATATTGGAGGTGAGAGCGTTTTTAGTTACATGCCCACAGTTCTTCAATACTAAATTCAAGTCAAAAAATGCAAATTCTAATTGTACTGTTAAAATTGTTAGTCCAATATGCTTTCAACACCCATTTTCCCAGTTCTTTTTCAGAGATTTTTTTGTTTCTCATATGAAAAATTTCAGAAGGTGCTCATAAGCAACTGAACATCTTGAAAGTCAAACTGAACATATGAAAATATTTTGAAAAGTAAATGAGTATAAATTATATATTTAGTTTTCTGTAAGTTCATTCATTATGATAGTAGAGACATATCACTAATTCATATTTAGACAATGTCTTGCTAGAATGAACAATGGGAAAGCTGCCAGTTATCACTTCCATAGCTCTATGTAAACAATGGTGTTTTGTGTTTAGGGTAACAGAGAGTAATTTGTCTTAATACCACCTATAAATCTCCTTAATAAGAGTGGGAAATCCTTTAAAATCATATTTTCTTGACAACGAGCAATGGTAGAGAATTCTGGATAAGGCATCCATGGTACTAGTTTTTAGAGTTGGTACCATAATTTAGGCACCATTACTTTTTAAATGCTGTTTATTATCCCTTTTCAAAGATGCATATACTGAAAATGTGTCTACAATTCTCTATCCATGGAGCCACACTGGCCAGGGCCATTTTGCTCCAATTTTTACATTCCAAGTTACATTTGTGTGTTACTATTATTTCCTGGCATGTTATTTTGCTCAACATTCTACTTTAGTTGCTTATACATAGCATTAATGGTTCCTTCCATACTCAAACTTTTAATTCAAGAGGTTAAGGAACTTAGAGGTGTGAAAACATGTGCAGTAACTGTGACTGGGTCACCTGGTGGCAGTAACAGAATGGCTGAAGAATGACCACTAGCAACTGGGCAGCTTCCCACTAGGCCCTGTGTTCTGAGTTGGCAGGATTCATCATTGTGGTCTGCCAGCTTAACCTAAATGCAATAAAAACCAGTCTACGCCTAATCAAGGGATCAGCTGGGCATCCCAGGCATCAGGATTTGGGTCATTTAGGTCTCTGTAGTGATGCCTGTGGACTCCAGTACTTAAGTCTCTGCCTGGCTATATAATACTTCAACATTTCCTCTTTCCATGTCTTTTTCCATGTGTTCTTCTGGGACTGTTACCACTTTCAGGCTCAATTTGGCTGATGGAGTGCAGTAACCTACACCAACGTGGTGTGGAACTGTGATCCAGGTAAGAAATATGTCATTGGCTACAATGATCACTTGTTTTAACATGTTTGACAGGAAAATCAAGAAGTTTTAGCTATATTAGTTAACAGTCTTCAGCCTCTGCTAATGCAAAATCGACTTAAGTCACTATTTTTGTTAAATAGTAGGATAAGTTGAGGAATATATATATATATGAAAGGCTAATATGCTAAGTGTCCCTCCCACTGTCAGACTGGTCACTATGATGCGCACTGACCACCAGGAGGCAGATGCTAACGCAGGAGCTGCCGTGACGTGCACTGGGCATTTACAAAGAAATGGCACCACCTCGCACCTGGTGCCGACAAAGCAACACTCGGCTTCCCCCAAGTGGGACACAGGCCCCGCCACCACCCTGGAGTGACACCCCACCGAATCGCAACCAACCCAAC